ATGGCTGCTAAGGGGCGCCTGGAGCGGGAGGTGCTGGGGAGGAGCAGCAGTGCTGAGCATCTCGGTGCGCCTACCTCTCTCTGCTCCCTCTGAAGGCAGAGTTCTTCCGTCTCCTCCATCAGTTTGTCTGCAAAGCAAGCACGCACCCTCTCACAGAAAGCTCGCTCCAGCTCCGGCCTGGAGGGGGCAAGTGCCTTCCAGAAACCTCCTTCATGCCCGGGATCTCCCAGGGAAACGGTCAGCCCTGCCATGCCCGGGCCGGCCAGGGGGCTGAGCCAGCTCCTGGGGCTGGAAGCTGCCGTGCTGGCCTCAGCCGCCGCCCTCCTTTCTGCTTGCTCTGTGCATTCACAAGACAAGGGTGGCCTCATCTTCAGAAGCTCAGGTGGGGGTCTGCACCCTAGAAGTGCTGTTAATTGTGCTGCTCCCCAGACCACCGCCCCTCTGCACTAGTGTCTGGCAGGTGGGGGAGGGCAGGCCCTGGGGGGACAGGCAGAGCGGAACCAGTGCTGAGGCCCCAAGTGTCTAAGGAGGTGTCAGGGGAGAGGATCCGAGGTAAAGGATCAAACTCCCAGTCTCACCTTCTTTCCCAACAGAGCATGCTTGCCCGCCAGTCAGGGGCATAGGGTCAGGTGTAAAGCGGGCTGGCAGGTGGGAGTTATTAGGGGCAAATCCAGGACCTGGGGACCCAGGGCAGGATAATTTCAACTCCGTTTATGGGGCCCATACTGTGTGCCGGACACAACAGCTTTCAGGCATGTTCTCATTTCCCCTGACCCCCCTGCCACCTCTAAACGCTAGGGACTATTCTCGTTTCCATTTTAAGGATGAGGACATCGAGGCTTACCGGGGCTACACTTCCTGGAGACACACAGCTGACAGAGAAGTGGCAAAGCTGCGGCCAGAGCCCAGGCTCCCGGCCACCAGGTCCCCCTGCCTTCTGTCATGCCGGCCAAAAGGACACAGGTTACACAGTCAAAGCCTCTAGGCTTCGGGCTGATCTATGGCTCCCTGTAGCCCACCAAGCCCCATCCCAGATTCTCCCCTTCCTGGGCCGTCCACCAAGCCCCGGCTCTAACCCTTGGCCCCAAAGTGCTTGCTACCTAGGGAGCCTCAGCTTCCAGTCCATCCCTCTAGCCAACCTAAATACTCCTGCTTTTCCTTGGCCAACTGCAGCCCCTGGGCCTCCAGGCTTTTGATCATGGCTTCTCCCAGCTGGGCATTCTTCCAAGTCCTGGGGAGGGAGGGCAGATGGGACAGAGAAGAGAAGAAGAAAGAAACACAAAATTGTTACAACAGAAGAGTGGTGGAGAAGGAGACTGCGCATGGTTTGTGCTCGCCCATCCTGTCTCTTCCAGAATCCCAGCCCCATTCACTCTGGCACCCTTGGCTCTAGGCATGCCACCAGCATCGATCGGTTACAGTCCCTGGAGGCTGGCCCGGGCTGCAAAGTGGGCCACGGCAGACGGGGCCAGCAGCACTTGCGGAGCAGGGAAGAGATTGCTTCCCAGGCTGCCTTCCACACCACTGTAGGCCACTCCTGGGCACAAGGCCTGGCGGCCGCGCGCTCACTATCATTTGTTGAACTGAAAGCATGACCCAACTTGAACAGGCAGGTGCCAGGACAGGGGTTTACATATAAATGGACCGTGCTGGGCTGGAGGTTTCCATGATCTGGACTCTGATTTACAAAGCACCAGCTCCTTTCTGCACTAGGATTCACTGTGGGCCTGGGGAAGTGAGATGGGTGTTGGGAGGCAGCCGAATCCCCCTAGCAATGCTGGATTTGCTCCCAAGAGTTAGAGACAAGTGGTGTCCACGTCTGCCACCTGTGACTCCAGACAGGCCAAGCTCGCTGTGCTCAAAGCCCACTTAGCAGACCCCTCACAGATGCTCTAAATCTGGCCTGGCCTTTCTTCCCCACCCTAACCAACGTCCACAGCGCTGTTTTCAAGGAGGCCCAGCCATTTTTCTCCCCACCCTGTCCTTTCTTGGTGTCCTCAGTGCCCACCAGGATCCTAGCAGAGAGGCAAGGAGATCAGGGTGAACCCAGCCCATAACCATTCCCTTTCTGGACCTGCCCCCCTGCCTATGAGCACTTACACCTTCCCGGACTCCTGTAGCATCTCCAGCCACTGGGTCTGCTCAAACTCGGACTCGGCAGCCAGCAAGATGTTGCCCTGCCAGGAAGAAGAGTCCCAGGTGTTCCTGAGAGGAGGCCACTCCCGGGATGTCAGAGGCCATCCACAGGGCCCTCCAGGCCCAGCTCTGCTCCTCCATCACACATCCCTAGGACACTGAACCCTCCCAAGCCAGGCCGCTGGAGGGGCTGCCCCCAGGGAGCCTGGAGGTCCCCCAGAGAGGCTGGTCTGCCCTGCCGAGTCCAGGCTGAGGGGAGAGCTTTACTCACATGGAAGTCCTGGTGGGAGATTTTCATGGCATAGGGCATGCTGGGTTCTTCCTTGGCCTCCACCAGGCAGCCTCCCAGGGGGATGACGCCCTGGGAAAAAACCAGAACAGGCAGCCCCCACCCCGCCCAGGTCACTCAAGGCCTCTGGGAGCCCTCAGCCAAAGCCAGGTCCTGCCAAGGGCCTCAAGCTGGGAGCCAGACCAGAACCAACTCCCAGAAGGAAGAGGAAGGGCTGGGGCAGGCTCTGGGGCACAGGAGGGTGGGGGCCCAGCCCAGGAGAGCAGGGAGTCTTGTGTCCCAGGAAAGATTTGTTCTCCAGACCCTGCTAGACCAGAGCAAGAAAAGACACGGTCTTCTACCCTTACAGGATACCCTCCCCCGTTGTCCCCATGAGGCCCTCCCCACTGTGGCCCTGAGGGGAGGCTGCCTCACCTTAGGATGTATATTGAAGTATTTATTGCTTTCAAAGTTCTTTTTTTCGCTCTCAGAGTAGTAAAGAAGAAAGCTCTCTTTGATGATGAAAAACCTAGAGTGGGTGGTGGGGAAGAAGGGGCAACCAGGAGGGAAGGGGTGAGGTTTCTTGGGACAGTAAGAAGGCCTTGGAGGTCCTGAACTCACATGGAGAGCCCATGGGGACACCAGCTCATGACTCATCCTCACCAGCTCACATTCCCCATCTGGGCAAAGACCTCAGCTGGACAGCCACCTGCTGCCTTAGGCAGCCTGACCCTTGTGCTGGTGGTCAGCGGAAGTGGGAAGCCCACGACTGGCCTCTGGGTCTGGCCAACTCCATCCTGCCACACTGGCACCCTCAGCACAGGAGGGCACCTGTAGTCCTTCCCCTCTAGTATCTTCCCCCCCTTGAGCCATAGCTCCAGTCCCATAGGGTCTACCGCAGGGGTGGGGTGGGGCGGGTGGGGGAAGAGGGAAAGAAGAAAGTTTTCCTCGTTTCTGCCTCTCAGCCTCTCTGCTCTAGGAGAACGCAGAGCCTAGGGAGGACTCCCTCCTCACTAAGAGACTGTGCAAGATTCCAAGATGGGTCTTCTGACAAGTGATCATGAAACTGGCAATTGGATAGAATGTGGATACCAGGCTGGTGAGGCCAGGCCCACCGCCTACATGTGACACCTGCATTCCCTTTTGTCTGAGAGCTCCATGGCCTCCTTCTGGGACCACATCGAACTCAGGATTCCTGGGACCTGGATGCTTCCTGGTTGTTGTGCAGCCAGCCGCCTGGTGCCAACACGCGGAGCCCTTGGACCCACTCCGTGGGCTCTCATAGGACTAATGATTGGAGCCGACCAGAATAGGACACCAAGTACCCTCCAGGACAAGATCCAACCAGGCCTCGAAGCCCTGAGGCTCAGGAACACCCCGAATGGCCGGCTTCTCGCTCCCAGGGCCCAGGATCGGGGGAGCTGGAAGCAGTGGGTGCTGGAGCCCGGCTCAGATAGGCTGGCGACCGCGGGCCGTGTGACTCTCCCCTCTGCTCTGCGTTCGGTAGCATCGTGTTGGTAGCTTGATACAAGTCACAGTGGGAGCACTCACACCCTGAAAACCACCAAATGCTACAAACAGGGCTCCACCCAACACTCCCCCCCGCCCCCCCGAGAGAGCCGATTGTTAGCCATTTACCAGCGCACTACTGATTGGAAGGCCACTCTCGTGAGGGTTTCAAAAAAATTGCTGGGGCACCATGAAGTCAGTGACTCTCTGAAGATCCACCAGCCACATGATCTTTCCTCAGGCCACAGCTGCGGGGGGAGGGTCCCCGGGACGGCCCACAGCTGCCACCGCACCTCCCCCAGGAAAGAGAAGCTCCGCTTTGTCCTGTGGTGTGAGCCCCAGGCCAACCCCTGTGCTTTATTTGCACCGACCCTCTTGGCCCAGCCAGATACCGAATGCCGCTGTGGACGTCCTGCTAATGCCCTCCTCCTCCAGGCCTCTCTGCCCCTGAGGGAGGAAAGGACACTTAAATACCACTCTGCAGAGATGCAGGGACATTCTGGGCCCTCCAGCACCTGACCCCTGCCCATCTTCTCGGCTTTCCCACCGCTTCTGCCCTGCAGCCTCTCTGTCCGAGCCAACACTGACCTCACCACCCCCCACCTCACTACATTTTGCACAGTCCTGCAAAGGAGGTTGTGCAGTCCTCCCTGAAAAGCCCTGCCTGTTGCATTTCATCTGGCTGCACCCTTCCTTGGTGACCAGCCCAGCCCTCAGTGCCATCCGAGCTCCTCCTGCCCTTGCTGACTGGGCCATGCGCTTGGCACTAGCACCAATATGCCCATGTGTTCATCTTGTCCTGAGGGGATGCTGGGCTCCTGGGGGGCAGGCCCCTGCCCTCTCTGATCCACAGGCCAAGGGAGATGTCCCCTGCCCGTTTTAAAGAAACTTTGCAGAGTACTTAAGAACACAGGCTTTGGCCACACGATCACGCTGAGCTAGTACCCGGGCCTGGAATCAGGCCGCAACCTGAGCCGCGCCTGCCGCCTGCCACCACCTCTGGACCACGGACCCCCACAAAGTGAGCGAGCTTCGGGCCTTCGTGAAAATATGTAAGCAGGATCCGAGCGTTCTGCACACCGAGGAAATGCGCTTCCTACGGGAGTGGATGGAGAGCATTGGGGGTAAAATACCACCTACCGCTCATAAAACTAAATCAGAAGACACTATCAAGGAGGAAAAAACAGATAGTAAGAAGGCGGAGGAAAACATAAAGACAGATGAACCATCAAGTGAGGAACGTGATCTAGAAATTGACAATGAAAGTGTGATTGAACCAGATATTGATGCCCCTCAAGAAATGGGAGATGAAAATGTAGAGATAACCAAGGAAATGATGGATCAGGCAAATGATAAAAAAGTGGCTGTCATTGATGCCCTAAATGATGGTGAACTAAAAAGCCCCCTTGACTTGTTCACAGATGCCATCAAACTGAATCCTCGCTTGGCCAGTCTGTCTGCCGAGAGAGCCCGTGTCTTCATCAAATTACAGAAGCCAAATGCTGCCATTCGAGACTGTGACAGAACTATTGAAATAAATCCTGATTCAGCTCAGCCTTATAAGTGGCGAGGGAAAGCACACAGACTTCTGGGCCGTTGGGAAGAAGCGGCGCATGATCTTGCCCTTGCTTGTAAACTGGATTACGATGAAGATGCTAGTGCAGTGCTGAAAGAAGTTCAACCGAGGGCCCAGAAAATTGCTGAACATCAGAGAAAGTATGAGCGAAAACGTGAAGAGCGAGAGATCAAAGAAAGACTAGAAAGGGTTGGGCGCCTGGGTGGCTCAGTCGGTTAAGCGTCTGCCTTCAGCTCAGGTCATGATCCCAGGGTCCTGGGATCGAGCCCCGCATCGGGCTCCCTGCTCGGCGGGAAGTCTGCTTCTCCCTTTCCCACTCCCCCTGCTTGTGTTCCCTCTTTCTCTGTTGAAAAATAAATAAAATCTTAAAAAAAAGGGTTAAGAAGGCTCGGGAAGAACATGAGAGAGCCCAAAAGGAGGAAGAAGCCAGATGACAATCAGGAGCTCAGTATGGCTCTTTCCCAGGTGGCTTTCCTGGGGGAATGCCTGGTAATTTTCCTGGAGGAATGCCTGGAATGGCAGGGGGGATGCCTGGAATGGCAGGAATGCCTGGGTTCAATGAAATTCTTAGTGATCCAGAGGTTCTCACAGCCATGCAGGATCCCGAAGTTAGGGTGGCCTTCTAGGATGTGGCCCAGAACCCAGTGAATATGTCAAAATATCAGAGCAATCCAAAGGTTATGAATCTCATCAGTAAATTGTCAGCCAAATTTGGAGGTCAAGCATAATGCCCTTCTGACAAATAAAGCCCTTGCTGAAGGAAAAGCAATGATACCTAATGGATGTCGCAATAATACAAACCAGTGTACCTCTGACCTTCTCATGAAGAAAGCTGGGGTGCTGTGAAGAGAATCCCTACCCTTCTGCCCCACATGCAACTGGAACATTCTATAGTGGTTTGCTATTAGGGTATTCATTCAGATAATGTTTTCCTACTAGGAATTACAAACTTTAAACACTTTTTAAACCTTAAAAATATTTAAAAACATATTAAAAGGGTGTGTTAGTCCCTACATTTTTCTTTACTAATCATTTCAGTTTTTTTCCTTTGGATTAATTCGGCAAGGAAGATACTTCAGTGTGGAAGATTTATTGCTCAGTTTGAGTGAAATAAAGGTTTATTAGTGGGAGGCAAATATAGGGGAAAAAAAAAAAAGAACACAGGCTTTGACATCAGATAGACATGCCATTTCCCAGCTGGGGGACTGTAGCTCACCTCTCTGAGCATCAGTTTATTTACCTGTAGAATGGGGATGATAACACCTACCTCAGAACAGTTGAACAGTTTAAGAGGCTATTTACCCCATCTCTGGTATTTTGTTATGGGAGCCTAACAAAGACAAATAGCTTCTTGCATTCCTGACACTTCTGGAGTCCCCTCTACACTGAGGGTAAAGCATTGTGCCAGGGACTTAGTTGGGGAGGAGGGGTAACAGGCAGATGATCACTGGACACAATGAGCAGGGAGACAACAGGGGCCCTGGAGTCGAACAATCCCCACCCCTCAAGCCATGGTCTCAGGCAAGCTCCCAGCCTTGCTGAGCCTCCCTTGCAAAACTTCTCTATAAAATGACGGGTGCAAATATCTGTCTCTTGGGGCTGCTGTGAAGATTCATTGCTGAGCTCCTGTTGTATACCAGGCACTGTTCTCGGTGCTAGGGAGAGAACGGTGGGCAAGAGAGACACATATTCCCGTCCCCACAGAGCTTACACTTGAGTGAGTGTGTGGCATGGCGAGGCGGACAGTAAATAAATAAGATTTATTTATTACCAGATGCTAATAAATGCTAGGGGGAAAATAAAGCAGGAGAAGTAAGGGGGTGGGCGGGGGGAGGTTTTGCTATCAAACACGGTGGTCAGGGAGAGCCTGATTACGAAGGTGACATTTGAGAAGATGCTCCCGGCACAGGAGCCCCAGGGGCAAAGGCCCTGAGAAGCGTGCCGGGCTCTGGAAGGAACTGGAAGGAACTGCGAGGCTTGCAGCATCGCTGCAGCAGGACCCGATAATAGGGCACATGAAGGGCCCACACACCATGCATGCCAAGCCCAGCCTCGTTCCAGCTGTGCTCAGCTGGGTTTGCGGGGGGAGTGAAGGTCAAGGGAGAGGAGCCTGAACCTGGGAGCATGAACCTGGAGGAGGAGGGCGACTCCCCAGCTGGCAGGGATGAGTACTGCCCAAAAAAGGGCACATTTGGCCAGCACACTTCCAGGTCCCAAGGAGCCACCTTTACTCATAAACCTGTCTCAGTGACAGCCCCCTGCTCCAGCTGATGATGCTCAGCCTCCTCTCAGCAGGTGGGGGCCCAGGACCTGAGTGCCCCTGCACAGAAGGACACTTCTTCCTATCCCTTTCTTCAAAATCCCCTTGCTCCCTGACACTCTCATTCTGACTGCAAGCCAGGGGCATCTCCTTCTGTGCCCTGCGGAGTTGGCGGGCTATGCCAGGGCTGGAGATGATCCCCATTATTTAGCTGTTCTCATGTGTTGGCTCCCCTGCTGAGTGTTGTAAGTGTACCCGAGTATTTGATCGATGTCACAATCCTGGAAGGCAGGACTTTTGTTCCCACTTTACGGATGAGGAAACTGAGGCCTAGAGTTGAAATAACGCGTGCAAAGTCACACAGCTAGGGCAGAGGTGGGGCTGGGATTGGAACCCGCAGACCACAGTCCCTGCTCTTACTTCCCACACCACCCCGCCTTCGGAGCCGCTTCCATTCATGCCAGCATCGTGCAGGGAACCACCAGGCCAGAGGCAGGAGGTACCGAGGCTGGGGAGCCACGGGTCAGAGCTCTGCCACTTAACAGCTGTGTGGCCAGGGCAAGTCACCTGATCTCTCCAGGCCTCAGGTCCAAGTGTGACTGAGGACAATAATAGTAGCTACATCTCTTAGGGTTGTTGGGATGAGTAAATGAGTTTGTTCACATAAAGACGTAGCATATTGTGACACATGGTAAATATTCAATAAACGCTTACTTGTATTACTGCTGTTATTATTTATTATGATCAGGTTCAGTGTCTACGGCAGCCTGCCCTAGCCTCCGTTCCCATTGGCCCTCCCCTAGCTCCTACTGGCAGCAGGCCTGGGCTCCAGCCCAGCCGGCCAGCCCCTGTCCTCCAAGCACCAGGCACCTCCCTCCTGTCTGAAGCCCACCCTTCCATCCCGGGCCAACTTCAGGCCTGGGAGGAGCTTTGTAGCCCCAGGCCTCTCATCATCAGCCCCACTAGTCGCCCGACTAGGCCGGGGAGGGGGCAGCCCAGAGCATGTGGGTGAGGGGAGGGGTCTGTTAAGGCCACGGCCTCCTCTCTCAGGCCTAAAGGATGGTATTCCGCACGTCCAGCTGAAGGAGCATTTGCAAGGTGCCAAGACGCTCACTTTGGTAAGTGTTTCATTGGCATTATCTTTATAAATCTCTCACAGTGACTCTAAGAGATGGAGGTATTTGTGGTTCTGGATCCTGGTGAGTTAACGGAGGCACACGGAGATTAAGAAGCGAGTGAGTGGCGGACTTGGAAGTCGGCTCGGTCCACTGACACAGCTCACGTTCTCGACTGCTGTGCTCTGTGATGCCCAGTCCTCCTCATCACTACGCCTGATTTCGTGGTCCTTCCTGGTCCCTCCTGCCCTGCAATGACTGTTTGTCTTCCTAGAACTCATCCCGGCAGAGTGACGGCAAGCTCCCGGTCAGCTCAGGTCAGGGAGCATTAAGGAATCACCAGGTATGGCCAAGTCCTCAGTGCGGCTCTGGGGCTTGATGACTCCCTGCCCTCGAGGAGCTTAGAGTCAGATACAGGAGAGATGGGGTAGAAATCAATCCTTTAAAAAATAGTTAATGCTTATCGAGCTTCTCCTTTGTGCCAGGCAACATCATTAGGTGTGTTAACTCGCTCCTTACGTGATCAAGGTGAGGTAGCTGGAGTGCGAGAAGTTAAGTAATATGCCCTAGATCACACAGCTGGTAGGAGGGGGAGCTGGGATGATTAGAAAGCACCAGGGTGTCCTGTACATTGCAAATACCGGCGTATCCTGGAACACCGTACAGCACGCGGCTAAAGGCTGACGCTGCAAGTTTTATGAGGTATGAGAAGAGTGAGGGCCGGGAGGAGTGATGGTTTAGGTGTCCAGCCAAGGGGATTCTCTGAGAGGAGGTGACAACTGAGCAGGATTTTGAAGGATGAATAATAGTATCTCAGGAATCTGGGAGCAAGCCAAAGGGGAAGATGCGTTCCAGACAGAAGGAACAGCACATGTAAAGAATCATGTGTTCAAGGTTATCAAAACATGTCTGGTATTACCGGCAGAGGAGTGGAGAAAAGGGATAGGCAGTGGTGTGGGGGAGGGGCGGTAGGGGGTGAGTGAAGGTCAAAAGAGAAGCAGGAACCAGAGCAGGGTGAGGCTGCTTCTTGCTGATGAGGGCAGCTGCCGGCTTAGGTGACGGGGTGGACACCAGTGCCATCCAACACGAACAAGGGAACTCGGGAGGGGGTTCCTAAACTTTGCCTCCACCTTTTACTCCCCTCCTTGGTGCTCTGAACGCAACAAGGGCTCAGCCAGAGCCTGATGGCCAACACTGGCCTCATGATCAATCCCGCTGGAATCGAGAGAACAGGCAGCATGCTTAGACCCACAGGTACCTTCGAAGTTGGGCAGGTCCTGTTTAAGAAAGGGATCCACTCTGCTGAGCTCCTTCCTCTCTGGAGAGGCAAAAGCCAAGTTTGGGAGTCGGGGCGGAAAGGGCCTTGGAACACGGAGCGAGAGAAAGTTGGAGTCAGGGGAAATTCGCCGTGGGGAGGAGGGTTGATGGGAGAGTGCAGAGGAGAGAGAAGATGTGAAAGTCTGGGTCCTACAGTGTCAAGAGCCGGTGGTGAACAATCCCGTCTCCGGGGATGGCAAGAGGGGGTATCTGGGAGGCTTGGGAAAACAGGAGCCAGCATTCAATGAGACAGTGTTCACACTTCTGTGATTTAAATGCCTCTTCCACCATTTTCATTGCCAAACCTGCTCTTCGGCATAGCCTACTAGACCCACAAATACCTTGTGTGAGAGGCGGGTGTGTCCCTGTGGCGGTGGGGAGGGAGGACCCGGGAGACGGAGGGATGAGCTGAGTTCTTGCAACGAGGACCACCTACAGCGGACAGCACAGTAATCCATAAACAAGGAAACAAGTTTTCAGAGCCTCTTGAGGATTACCAGAAGCCCTGGTGCAGGTTTGAATTTCCT